ATTACACTTCTCTTTCTGCAATTTGCCTCCTTTCATTTTCCTCATAAATCTCTCCATTCTTATCTACCATTTTCAAGAAATTCAAAAAAAATAAAAATAAATAAATAAATAAATTTGTTTTGATCCAAAATCACACAAATCAGCCCAACTGAAAAGCCCTTGTTCATCATCCCCTGTTTCCCCAACCCCCTTATCCTCACACATTTATTTCTTCGAAAAAATCGAAAACATGTCGACCACTACTTCGACTTTCGTCTCTCATCAAGGGCTACAATCCTGCTTAGATCCCTTCTTGCTCCAGCCACGTGTCATATTTCACCAATTGTCTCCACAAACACCACCACCACCCTTATCCACTCTCCCTTTCCCTAAGAAACAACCCGAAACCCCGCTCGAAAAAATACCCGAAAACGATAAGAACTATGTCCATCCACTAATCAAGAATTCGTCGACTTCGTCTTCTTGCCTCAGCTTAAAAAGCCTCGAAATGTGCACCGAGAGCTTGGGGAGCGAAACCGGAAGCGGCATTGATTTGAATATCGACGAACTCCGTTATCATATTTACGATGATGATGATGATGATGATGATGATGATGATGTGCTGGAAAAACAGAGCAACGACGTCGCCAGAATCGAGAATGCGAAAGCTAAGAAGGGCGGCGGCGGCAATAATTTTCCGCCTCCGTTGAGTTCCATCGCCGGAGGCGACGGCGTCCAGGTGCAGACTCACCGCGAAGGTGGCCGCCTCGTGATTAAGGCCTTCAGTTTTTCTTCCTCCGCCACTTATTTTCGGGCGGAGAGAGAAGATGGGAGGCTCAGGCTTTCTTTGCTCAAAGATAGTAATTTTTTCGAGAGCGAAAACGATGAACTAGAAGACGAACAAGTAAACGGAGATGAGCTCGAGTTATGCATATGCGAAGAGAGTGATGATGACGTGGACAATGATGAAGAAGAAGAAGAAGAAGAAGATTCGAATGGTGAGTTTTGGAAAGTAGGGGGTGTAAATGGGGGCGGAGATCAATGGTCCACAAGCAGTAGGTGGTGCAATGGGGGTACCAGTAGCAGAAAGAGGCTCCCCAGTTTGCCTTTCTGTGTTGCCATTTCTTGAAAATAAGATTGTTGACTTTATTTATGTTACTGCTTTGACTTTCTTTCTTTTTTTTTTTTTCTTTTTTTTGGGAGATGGCAGTTATTATGGTTAGGAGAAGTGATGATCCACTATTATTTTCAGGGCCCGTTTCAAAGGTTGTTAGCAAGATTTGGGCCTTTTGGTAGTTAGGCAACTGTTTTGGGTTGATTAATTATTATTATTATTAGTTTTTAATCTTGTGGTTAATTCTTTTTGTTTTCATAGTTTTTGGATAACTCCGAACTAAACAGGACCACTGTTAATTCATAACCACCACTCGCGGTTAGAAATATCCCCATCCGTAAAGTAACCATCGGAATCAGCCCATTTCGGGCCAATTTCATTTGGGTTACTTGATTTTTTTAAAAGTAAAATAATCACCAATTACTCGACATTTACTAAACCGTTATTGTTGCCCTACATTGGTCACTATTAATAGTAATGAAAAAAAAAAAAAGTGTACTCAACGAGGGAACACGTCAGAGTATGGGTCGGATCAAAATTAGACCCGACCCAGTATGGATTTCTACCTTGGAACAAGAATTCGGGGGTTGAGAATGACTGCACGAGAGTAACCAACTAATAAGAACATGAAGTAGGTAAAAAAAAAACAAGTTGATATATAAATGATCAATGAAAGTTTCAAAGCTGTGATAACGTAGTGTGTGATGGGGGGGGGGGGGGGGGGGGGGGGGCCCTTTTTCTCCCCCCAAGTTTTTTTTTTTTTTTTTCCCCACAGGGGAAATATTATAAAAACCAAACTTTTT